TGTGGCTGATAGTGAATGTGATGCATACATGTTCTGACCCACTGTGTCTCATGAGCCCAGTCCAGCTCTGCCTCCTGCTCCTCGCTCAGATAACCGGAGTCTTCCCGGTTCCCTCCTATTTTGGCCTCACAGTCAGAACACGGTTTTTTTTTTTTCTTTTTCTTTTTTCTAGATATATATTTTTCCACAAGCTAAGTTGCAGCTCCTCTAAATGTGCGCATCTTCCCTTCCTCCCGCTGTGCGCCCCGACGCAGCTGCGTGGGCGCAGATACACAAAGAGAAAATATTCGCGCTCATTTGAAAGTTACCAAACTACAAAATGGCATCACCCTGGGCGCCGCCGCTCAAATAGGTCAGAGCTTTTACAGCGCTTTGTTGAGCGGAGAGAGAAAAGGAGGTTCGTGCGCTGCGCTGTTGCTGAAGTTCAGTTTCCGTGTCTGAGCCAAATAATTGGCAACCGATCAGGAGAAAAACACAGAGAGGCCTGATGCCTCCGCATGCAAGGACGACCTGTGCAGCACGAACACACCTCGGGGGAAACGTTTACAAATCTGGAATTTAATATTTGTGCTTCTCTGCCGAAACAAACCACACGGCAGCTCTGCGCACGAGCTCCAATAATTGTTGGTAGAAGCGCCGTAATTCAGCTGAAGAGCTGCTGATGAGCGGCGGCGGCTCCGCGGCTCCGCGGACCTCAGTCACACCGAACAACACCGCCAGCATTTTCACATCCTATTTGTACAATTTCTGAGCACTAAATGTGCTTCTTCTGGACACGTTTGACTCGCATATAAAGTGTGTTTGGACCCAGAGGTGAGTGTTCGGCCCACGGACACATTCCTCTGCAGCCTCATCCACCTTCATCCACTTGGAGCGTTTTTAAAAATCACAGCCACACTGTTCACACTGGCCCGCATCATGAAACACGTCCCGCTTCCTCACTATTTACTCTGCTTTTTAGTTTCGCTCATTTCTCTGGACAACTCCTCTGTGTCTTCACAAACAGTTTCAGAACCACGGGGGAAATATTCCACCTGTTCCCGACGCGCAGCTGGACGCGTTTTAAATGTATCTGGTTTTTATTCAGTAGATATCATTTCTGTCTGTGTGATGTGGATTTTTGGATTTACGCACAAATAAACTGTAAAATCATTCTGACGTGGTTTTGTTGTTTTGTTTTTAACCCGGTCCACTCAGTGGGCTCCGGAGCAACGTGGCGTTAATTCACCGCAGCAGTGGACGAAACCCACTTCTCCCAACATTTACAAATTTATTTAATTAGCTCTGAGTGTAATTAAAGGATTTAGAGACTTTGACGAGTGGCGCTTTTACGCAATAATTCTAAATGCTTTTTGAACACACCGTTTTAGTTTTAAGAAAAAGGCCTCTGCTGCTGCTGCTGCTGCCTAAAATGTGCTTGAATGAATTAATACCGTGATTCTGTTTGACTGTCTGTGGAAGGAGGCGCACCTGTCTGCACCTCTGATCGACCCAAGTGTCCTTGAGCCAAACAGCCGGATCCCCGTCAGCTGCAGGGGTTTCCTGACCTCTGCTCTCCAGACAACAGAACAGTTTCCTCCTGTTATTTCACTGGACAACTTCTCTGTAACTAACAAGCAGCTTTGCGCCAAAGCGCACGGCTCTCCAATTACGCACGAACAATTACAGCTGGATAAAGGAAAGGTTTGTCTTTATGGCTGGAGATGAATGAAGAGAAACAATGAATTAATGAAAGCCAGTGTTTATTAAATACTTGAGCTTCCTGCTGCTGACACGGAGCAGATAAATCATGCAGCCTGCACCAGCTGTCACTTTTATTGAATGGCACAAGTTGGGCAGAGACCGTGTTGGATGGACTTTAGCTGTTGAGCTGAGGATGCATTCGTGCCTCACATCCAAAAGATATGAAACTAATGATCAGAATACTGAGGAAATGAAAAGCCCGGTTCAAGGTGAATTGTACATTTAGTTTTCAGGACTTTTGCGGTTTTGACGCAAACGACAGAAACTGTAAAGTGACTTGTGTTACCCTCCGCTCTGCTCTCCGCTCGGTTCTGGCAGCGCGCCGTGTTCGGGCTCCTTATAAATAAATCCACCGTCCCCGGTTCCTCTTCCTTATTGGTCAGGTGGAGCCGTTACCTCACTCCGGGGCCGGTGACGCAGCGTCTTCACGTATCCTTCATGTGCGTCTCTTCTTGTTTCTTGCTGAGAGTCTTGCAGTCGGACGGACCGGCGGCGGAGCGGAGAGTGGCGGACGGACCGGGTGCGCTCGATACTAAACACTTCCCATCCCGGGAGGAGAGCGGCGCACACGAGCAGCGTCTCTCTCTGCTTCTGTCTCTCATCTATGAGCTGCTCTCTCTCTCTGGCTCCCTCCCGCACATACGCTCACGCAAGCGCGCACGCACGCCCTGCATACGTCTCCACTTTGCCGTAGTAAACTACGGCATTGATCTGAACGGCGGGTGCGGGTCTGCCTCTTGTGTTCGCCTTTTCTTCGACGGAGCGACTTGGAGGAACGCTCGGCACACAAGTAAGTACAACACTTGTTTTGTCCTGCGCATCGCGTGGATTCGGTCTAAATTCACTTCACGGGTGATTCTCGTCACTCGTCCCGGGTCCAGACGGGTTGGCTCAGTCCTGGACTACTTGCCGTCAGTTTGTGCGCGTTGCCGTCCAGCTGCTCCAACTTGTGAGTCCAGTCACCGACACAAGTTGGTTTCAAGCTTCGCTCGCTGCAGAGTTTTTATCAACTTTTGATGGCAAGTCATTGAACAGAACCGAGTTCTAAAATCCTGATCTTCAGCAAACGGAGCGAGTCCAGCAGTGGAAGAAAAACACGAGTGGGTTTCTCTCTGCGTCCAGTTCCACTGCAAGAAGTAAACTTTAATTTAGCTGAAGGTGCTGGCAGCCTGCGGTCTGGTCTGACCTGAGCGACATGTCTGCGCGTAAAGCAGCGGCTCGGGTTGTGGTCCGTCCGGACCGCGGTGCTGTCCGCTCAGAGCGCCGGGCTGAGCCGCGGGCCACGGGCCACTTCCACAGCTTCCATTCACTCTAACAAATACTACACTACTACTAAATTTGCGTGCTCTCAGTGAAGCAACCCGAAGAAACAAAAAAGAATGAAGCTGTTACAAAACGTGAGGTTGAATAAATAAGGCTGAGCGCAGACGGTCAGTCCGGTCCGGTCCGGTCCGGTCCGGACGGTTGGAGCAGGTTTCAGCGCAGAGAACACGTCCTGCTGCTGCTGCCGGTGGAAAGGTTCCTCAGCAGAGACTTCCCATTTCACTTCTCCATTACTGGCCAGGTATTCCTGCTCTTCAAATTCAGATTAAAACTAAAGTTTCAGTTTTAATACAAATACCACACACACACCTACACACACACACACACACACACACACACTCACTCTCACATCTCCTTTCCACGCTCACCTCCAGCTCAGCCTCGTTGGAGCAGAAATGCAAAAGTTTGTCCGACTTCTTTTAAATTAATCGACACCAAAGCTGCTCGTTTATTTCTAAGTCTCAGTAGGTTTTGTTGAATAAATAAATAACTCATTCAATAAATAAATAAATAGATAAATAACTAAATAAATTAATATGTAGATAGATAAATAACTCATTAAATAAATAAATAGATAGATAAATAAATATGAAGATAGATAAATAACTAAATAAATAACGAAATAAATATGTAAATAGATACATAAATAACGAAATAAATAACTAAGGAGATAAATAACTAAATAACTAAATAAGTAAATAGATACATAGATAAATAACTAAATAAAAAAGTAAATAGATAAATAAATAAATAACTAAATATGTAGGTAGATAAATAACTAAATAAATAACAAAGTAAATAGATAAATAAGTGAATAATGATAATAATAATAATAATAATAATAATAATAATAATAATAATGGTGCTGTCAGCGCTGGCCGTGTTTCCGTCCTCTGCAGTTTTAAAGGTTTAATTAAAGGAGACATTTGCTGGTTTTCGGCTGAAACACCTTCAGACACAAATTTCAAGACAACAGTCATCGAGCTCTTTGGGCCTGAATCTGAACCGCTTGTCTCTCCCTGTGTGTGTGTGTGTGTGTGTGTGTGTGTGTGTGTGTGTAGAGTAATGCTGAGGAACCTATAATGCAAACACGGAGCGGTGTGTGTGTGTGTGTGTGTGTGTGAGTGTATCTGGGTCAGTGGCCGGCTCGGTGCTCGGCTCTGTTCTGCTCACTTCTCGTCTCCAACAGTGAAACTCATGGTAATATTCAAATGAATCGTTGTGCTTTGAAAGTCTGTGGTTCGCTCGTGCAGGTCCACAGCAGTGTCGGCTGTTGTGGACCAGCGCCAGAGCGGTTCAGAGTGTGTTGAGCAGTTTTGGCTTCCTTTGAATTCTGTTGTTCCACATTCACTTTACATATTCTGACGCTGGACTGATGAACTGCAAAACTGTTGTTAGAAGCAGCTTTAATTTGTGAAATATTTCCCTGGTCTGGAGCCTGAAATCACTTGCAAAACAGATGCAAACAGGGAAACGCTGCCCGCCTGGGTGTGTGTGGAGCTCACACACATCCACCTGTGTGACAGTGGCCCGGCTGGATATGTGCTGATGCTTTCTGGACGGTTTTAAAAGTCTTCCACCATTTAATTTGACACCTTAATTGAATTAGAAAAACAATGCTGGAACAGTTGAAGTCGCCCGTTAATCTGCCGTTTCCATGAATTAAATAAGCATTGCACTGATCCAGATTCATTTATTTTTGGCATGTATTTCAGTTAATCGGTTCTACGTGACTTTACTGGAGAGATAAAAGCAACACGTCACATGTGCAGGTAGCTGAAGCTCTGTCTCTATCTGTCTGCCATGTAGTGAACGAGGAGACAGAAAACAAAGGCAGTGGGAAGGCGCCCTGCACGGCTCCTGGTAAAGCCCCAGTGACAACGGGGAGAAGATAAACTTTCAGAAAAACTTTTTAACACCATCAAAATTCTCCTCTTTAGAAAATGTAAGATAAGAACCAATTTTATCTCAAATCACAAAGAGGTGAAAAGGAAGACAAACTCCCCGTTTCTGTCTTCACAGCGGAGTGAAATCCTCTGACAGCCACAGTCGATCCTTCACAGCTCCTCACAAGATGCAGAAATCAAGGTTAGCCCTCAGGGGGCCGCCAGGAAATGGGAAATGATTTTGGTTATTACAGGCAGGTGCTACTTCTCTGTGGGAATATCTCCTTGAACTATTTTAAAGAGTGTGTTGTTCTCTCAGCGGCTCCCTTGGCTTTTGGTCAAGAAATGTGCTACGAGTCCTTTTCTGTGTATTCTGCTGCGTGTGAGTCACCCTGAAATAAAACCGCTGCCTCTCACTGACACCACTGCTTTCTAAATATGTCATCATTGTATATTGTAATACTTTAAAAGGCAAAACACAAACTAAACAGGAGATTTTTACACGTATTTTACTTTCTTTTGTCTGTGTTGAAATGTATCTGCTGTAATAATATTCTGCCGTGACGTCTTTTAAAGCCAATGAGCTTCTAAAGTGAGATTTAAATCTTCTTGCCACAGCGGCTGTTTTTTCAGAATTAATGGGTAATAAATATAATTACCATCCAAAAAAAAACTAAAAAGTTATCCAGAAATTAGCCCAAAAATGACAAATTCCCGCAATCTAATTTTCCAAGTTGAAGTGTGAAATCACTGCAGCGTGTTTCCTGTGTTGCTGTGAACAGGTCACTCTTTCTGCTGCGAGCGTCTGCGAAGACCCCTGGTCATGTCTGCTTAGCTGTCCTGCGTGATGCCTGATCATGACAGCACCACCCTCCTAACCAGACAGACCAAGCGCCGACGTGTTGACATCGGGGTGAAAAGGACCGTGGGTAGCGCGATATTCAGCCGCGCCAGGGACTCCCTGCTCGACAGAATGAACCAATCGCACGGCCCCGACCAGGACGGAGACTGCTCACTGGTCAGTCACGGCCACGGAGGCACCAATAGTGATGGAGAGAAGTCCAACGTTCTGAGGAAGCTGCTCAAGAGGGCCAATTCGTACGAAGACGCCATCATGCCTTTCCCTGGCGCCACAATCATCTCCCAGCTGTTAAAAAACAACATGGGGAAGAACGGAGGCAGCGACTCGGGCTTCCAGGTATCACACACTCACAGGTTCAGCAACAGACAGCTGCCCTCAGTTCTGATGAGCAGCTCGTTAGTCCAGGAACCATTTAGAAGCCATTTCACTGAATCACTTTGTTTTCACTCCTCTGCAGCGCTCAGTCCTCCTTGGCTGGTTGTAATGATTGTTTGCTCTCCTCCATCACAGGGGAGTGGAGCTCTGTCCAGCGGAGGCTCGGAGATCCAGGCTGAGGACGCCTGCAGCAACTCCTCCCGGGACCGAGACAGCCCGTCCGACTGCCTCTCTCCTGGACCTCCTCTTGCTCCTCCACCTTCCTCCTCCTCCTTTGGGAGACCGCCGCCTCCTTCCAGCTCCCACGCTCCCTCTCAGCCCCTCTCTCTCTCCTCCTTCGACCTGGACCGACTGTCGGACGAACACCTTCGCGCCAAGCGGGCCCGAGTGGAGAACATCATCCGAGGCATGAGCCACTCCCCGCTGGTCCGGCCCAACGTCGGCGACCACGGCCAAGAGAGCAACCGCGAGAACGAGAACAGCAGCAACAACAGCAACAGCAGCAACGACCACAGAGGAGACGGCAACAACCACAACGTGAGCAGTCACAGCCGGAGCGACTGCCCGTCCTCCCTCCTGAGCTCTCCGGGCTCGCGGGCCGGCGTGGTCGGGGAGGTCTACAGGGAGAACAAGAGGAAGCAGCGCCTGCCCCAGCAGCAGCACAGCTTCACCCAGCTGGTGTGTTCGAGGCAGGAGCAGAGACAGGAGGAACGCCGGCAGCTCAAACTGCAGCTGGAGGACATGCAGGTCGGTGGCAGCCGCCAGTCACAGCATTTTGTCTTTTCTGATGGTATTTGCAGCTAAAATGCACCAAAAAATAAGCTGCAGCTTTTTAATATAATTGTACAATAATAAATGAACGTCCACCAAACAAGCTCATCGAAGGTGTTCTGACCCACCTCGTTGTTCCTGCATGGTGCCCCATGATATTTAACCAGTATTTATGGTGACCTTCTGGTTCTGAGGGGGTCTGCTTTAACATCGTCTCTCCTTCATTCAGAAACAGCTGCGCCAGCTTCAGGAGAAGTTCTACCAGATCTACGACTCCGAGACGGAGGAAGAGGAAGAGAACGGCGAGAACGGAGAGGCCGACCGAGGAGGAGAAAGAGAGGAGGACGGAAACCTGTCAGAGGACAGCATCCGCTCCGACGGCCTGGAGGAGAGGCACCGAGACCGAGGGCGGCACAGCCACGACGACCTGTCCGAGCTGGACCCGGGTCTGTTTCTGGACCGGGCCCGAGCCCTGCTCCGAGAACAGGCGCTGATAGACGGGGAGATGGAGGAGGACGTGGACAGCAGGGAGGAGGAGAGGAGCGGAGAAAGGGTGCTGAAGAGGAGAGGAGCAGCGGGAGGCGGAGGAAGGCAGCTAGCAGAGACTCTGAAGCAGGAGCTGAACTGTGCCGTATCGCAGGTGGTCGACACCGTCGTCAAGGGCTTCTCTTCGCCCAAGCAGGCCGTCGGCCACCACCACGGCTGCCACAGCAGCACGCCGGCTGCACCTTCCTCGTCCTCCAACTCGTCCTCCTCCTGTCCTCCTCCTTTCGGCCCCCTGCCCTCTCTCACCCCAGACTCACGCTTCGGCGGAGGCGCCCTGGCCCTCAGTCTGAACGGCGACGGCAGTCCCACCCCCAACTACCACTCCTCCAACCAGAGGCTGCACTGCTTTGGGGATGTGATTGTCCCGAGTCCGCTGGATTCATTCGGTGGTCTGAGCGGCCGACTGAGCGGTGTGCCGACGCCCAACGACCAAACGGAGGCGCTGCCGCTGGTAGTGCGCAAGAGCGGTGGAGGAGGTGGAGGAGAGAACCCAAACCCCTCTCTTCCTCCTCCTCCTCCTCCTCACCACCCCTCCCTCCACCCGTCCCCCCTCCCAGCCTCACTCGGGTTCAGCCCTCCATCTTTTCGCCACCCATTCCCCATTCCCCTCATGGGTTACCCCTTTCAGAGCCCGCTGGGGTCTCATGGGGGTGGAGCCGGCTACCCTCCAGGGCCCAAAGACCACCATCGGTCCTCCCCTGACTCCATGGACATAACCCGGGAAACTGTGAGCCTCCGAACCAAAATGGCATCCCTGGGAGGCGGCCATCTTGGTCACCATCACCACAGGCAGAGCTCCCCGAGCCAACACGGGTCAGAGGGTCTGTCGCTGTCCCTCATCAAGTCCGAGTGTGGAGACCTGCAGGACATGGCCGACATATCGCCATACTCAAGCAGCACCGTATCCTTGTCGGGTTTTCATGTGTGAGTGAGTGTGTTCGGATGTGTTTGAAAAACCCTCAGAACTTTTGGTTCAGGGTTTGGTTTGAGTCACACAGGTAGATCAGAAGGACGCCGTGTCCTGCCTCCAGACTACACACTAGTGAACCTGATTCTGAGACTCCGGTGCAGAAACCTGCTCCAAGCTTTTATCGAGCACGCTCAGACGTCTGATGGACAGCGGTCCCACGCTGCAGCGCACGAAGCAAATGGATGCCTCACTGGCAGAAAACTAGAAATTGGGGATGATGGTAAGAAGAGTTTAGCTGGCAGTTTGACATGTGTGCGTGTCTCATATAATTTGCTGTGAGTAGAAAAGGCTAAAACCACATGAAGTTCAAGATAAAACAATAAACTACTGCTCGGGTTAAACAACACTGGATGAACAGCGCTACTATTATCCTGAAGAACATCACTTGAACTTTTGCTCACACACGTAGAAGTTTCAGTGACTGCATTTCTGTCACCAGAGTCACACTTTCTGTGCAGTTAACTGCTGAGACATCTTGGAGGCAGCAGGAGGAGGCGACAGCCACACCAAGTCTTTAACATCAATTAATCTGCATTAATTGGTTCCTGGTCTAAGCCTCTTGTTTCCTCCGTAAGTGGGGAAGATGAAACGGGCGCGCCGGGTCTTGCAAGAGGGGGAAGATTAAACAGGTCGCATGCTGCTCTCTGAGGCTCTTTTAAGTCTGTGCAGCAGGTTGTGGTGTTTAAAGGCGCTGAGAAAGGCTACGAGCTGCTCTTCAACACACACCGTCTGAGACACTCTGCTGCTGCCGTTAGCTTCTCTTTCATCACACACACTTTGTACATAAACGCTCAAAGCAAATCATATTTCACTGTGTGTGTGTGTGTGTGTGTGTGTGTGTGTGTGTGTGTGTGTGTGTGTGTGTGTGGGGCAGGAGCTCGTACATAGGAGCTCAAAGCTAATCATATTTCAAAGAGCAGAGAGGAGCAGGCCGATGTTTGGCCTCATTGATGGAGCCTGTGAATGTGTGTGTTGCAGCAGGCTTGTGGACACACATGAAGACCAGAGTAACATCTAAATGTTCACTCTGGGTTCCTCTGTGTGAGTCCTAGCCTGGGGTTTTGGATCACTCCTACTCACTTTCATTGGCTGCCCTTCGCTCTCGGTTGCTCGGCAGCTGTGTGTGTTTTGTTTCCTTTTGCACAAACACACTCACGTGTGCACACACAATCACACGCTCCCTTTCATGGATGTGCACGTGGACAGGTGTTTGCAGGTAGCTGTTTATCTTTCGTTGCTAACCTTTCATATGGAGAGGGCTTCTCCTCGGCCGTGCACACTCTGACTCACACACGCACAAACATGCATGTTTGAAGAACAAAGCCAAAAGAAAAACCAGACTTTGAACCTGACAAATAGGAACTCCTTGCAGCTGTGATGATGATTTGATCACAGTGTCGTCTTCAAAGCCAATTTAGATGCTGCTTTAATTAAAAAAGAGAAATATTTGACACGTCTCTTGATCCCGCTGAGCCGTTTCAGTCCTAAACGCTGCGCCATTCATCTGAATGAAAGAAATCTTTGAAAGTGGACATTAGTATTTCAAAGATTGTGACCACCCTTCAAAAACACACAGCCTCTTTCTATTGTGGAAGTAAAACATCCCAGACTGCTGCTTCTTCTAAGATATTTAATTTTGCAGCTCACACTGATTGATTTTATTCACAAACATATCTGTTGATTCAGTTATTATAAATAACTTGTCAACAATGAAAACGGATTCTGATAATTCATCAGTCATAGTCACAGACAGAATATTATTCAGTAATTATCACAGCTGACTTCACCTTGTTCACCAGCTGCTGTGAGCGTTTGCTGCTTTGCTGTCGTCTCTGTCGTTTACTAGAACAGCACTTTGGTCAGAAACGGTTCTGATGGGCTCTGTGTCCATCCGCAGATCATCTGCTGACTGTTCGTTAGCTGTTAACAGGTTTGTTTGTGGAACACAATTATTCTGGGCCTGAGAATTACATCCTGAGCTGAAAGTCCATAAACACCATTCACAGTTGAATTGGTTCTACGGCTCTTATCCAGACTGGTTTCTCCAGACTGGTTTCTCCTGACTGGTACCTGCTCTCAGATGTACGTCTGCTGAATGAAACGGTAGAACTATAGCGGACGTCACACTCGACAAGGATCACACATTTATGCAGACACACCAGCTCGTCCTTGGTTCTGTATAAATCCATGCTCCACTATAGACTCTGCAACCAGCTAAAGCCGTCCTGGTTGTTTCTACAAGATATTTATTTTCACATTTGGAAAAGCTTTAAATGTTCTGGAAGCAGCAAAACGTAAACGTCATAAATACGTGGTCTTTGTCTCTAGACAGCATCAAAGCTAATGAGTGAAGAGCTTCAGCTTTCCTCAACCTGCAGACGCTGAACTTCTGTCTTTTCTGCTCCTCTGTCTATTGCAGTCATGTGTGACGTCGCCGTTAGCGCCACCTTCTTCTGCACAGCGAGTTTATTTCACATTTCTGTTTTAATGGACGCATCCCGAATTCACAGTTTCATTTATTACTTTTTTTTTTGGCGACATCACATCAGTTTGCTTTGAATGTGCTCAACAGTTTTATGGAAACACAAGCTGCTGTTTTTTCAAAAAGACGGACACAGCTGCTGTGTTTCTGCTCTCAGGCTAAAGATGTGTTTGAGCTCCTGGTTCTGGTTCTGGTTCTGGTACTGCACCGCGCACACCGTGTACGGTCCAACGGACACAACGGTGATCACGTCCAGGCGGCTTTAAACCGGCAAGAAAGAGGCGAGTTTTTAGTGTTTTCCATTGATTAGTGTTCACCTGAAAGGCCACACACACACACACACACACACACACACACACACACACACTCAGGTCTGTGTATCTTTAATCCTTTGTACAAAGCTGAGCAGATGTCCTCCATTCATTTATGAATTTATCCCCCCTCCCATCCACTCCCCCATTCACACACACACACACACACACACACACACACACACACACACACGGTAACAAGGTCAAGTTACAGCTGATACAGTGAGTCCAACACAAAACCTTCACAGATGTGCAAGAGGCCAAGCACACACACACAAACACACACACCTATACACGCACACACACACACACCTATACACACACACACACACACCTATACACGCACACACACACACCTATACACGCACACACACACACACCTATACACGCACACACACACACCAATAGAGGAGGAAGAAGAAAAAAGGAACATGAGCAGTTGCGTTGTTTATTCACCGACTCACTCTAGCTGCACACACACACACACACACACACACACACTCAGTCTTTATTCATCCTGATGTTGCTCCACACTGTTTACTCTGAGTCAGGTTTGTGTGCTTCAGCAGAACAGAACAAAACAGAGGAGGCAGCGAGCTGCACGCCTGCTTTAACGTGAGCTGCACACACACACGAATGATGACAGGTTGCCATGAATGTTAACGAAGTGATGGTGGCCTCATGGATCTGCTGCTAAATGAATGATGGATGAAGACGTAGGCCCAGAGAGCGCTGACATGTCCTGTGAGCAGGGTTTTAACACTGCCAGTGCATTTCAGGTGAACACAAATCATCTTCATAAAAATGACGAGTCACTTTACAAACTGAGGTCATGCGAGGTTCTAGTTCATTCAAACCCACTCCTCAGACTACATGTTTTGGCTCAGCAGCACTTCTGGAGATTCTGACCAGATTCTTAATCTAACACTAAATACAAGAACTGGAGTGAAAGGAAGTGAAAATGCAGATTCCTCCTCCTGACCTGAAGCGGCTGCTCTCTGCCTCCCTGATGGCTGATGCCACTCTCTGCCTCGTCCCTGCTTCCAGCCACACCGGGCTCCTGGGGTTTCTTCGTCTGTGTGTGTGTTTCTCTGTGTGCTAATTGACCTTGCAGGGGTCCCATTGATTGCCTCATCTTCTCTGATAGATTATAGGGCTGTTAATGTGGTGGGGAAATGGCAGCATGGAGGGCCACAGCTGTTGTCACACACACACACTTCTGGACACACACACACACACACACTCCGAGCGCCCCGTTGCAACCAGAACCTCCACAATTATCATCTCGTCTTGTTGTGACGGTGGGAGCTGCAGAGTCGGCGAGACGCAGGAGCTACGATAGCAGGTGCTGCTGTTTGCTTTGGGTGGAAAACCACGAGCGCTCTGCTCATTGCATCTGAATGTAGCGCTGCTCTATTAAATGGTGCTCGAGTTAAAAACAGGCCTCGTCTCTGAGACAGCAAAGACTTTAAAAACCTGAACTGTGACTGAGAGCTGCTCGGCCAGGTCACACATGAAGCCCGTCTGCAGGAGAACATATTCAGGCCAGACTCAGACAGCCACTGGACAAACCCTCACACACACACCACAGTGTGCTTTGCCATTTCATTCTGATGACACCGAGGACTGCACCTGTCTGGACATTATCATTCAGGTCCACATGCCACAAGGAGCTGGAGCGGTCGCTGACTGACTTGTGATAATAACAAAAGGTTGTATTTAGGTTGTCATCTGATCTGCTTTTCTTCCCGGTCCGGTCTAAATGTGGGACTCAGATGCCAAACAGGAACATAACAGACGTGTAATGGCTGCGATGGTTGTTGACAGGATCTCTGGCCAAACGTCCCTCAAAGGTAGAAATGAAGCTGGTCATGATGCAGACTGAGTGTATTCGTCACAAGGTTCTGGTTCCTTAACGTGTTACTACTCAGATCCAGGAGGGCTTGTCTCCAAACCACCTGAAGAAAGCCAAGCTGATGTTCTTCTACACCCGCTACCCTTCCTCCAACATGCTCAAGATGTACTTCTCTGACGTCAAGGTAGGACTCAGATCCTCTCATTTCCATTGACCTCTTTGATGAAGGTTGTCGTTGATATTGTGATTGCACGTCTGGTTGTTTCCTGTCCTGTCATATTCCAGTCCTTGTTTTTTCTACCCTGAATTATATTTATTTCACTAGAGAATCCAGGCGGTCTATTGCAGCAGGGCTGTAAGCAGCGACCGGTCTCTGTAAACGCCCCGTTTGCTTCTTCACTAAACACACAGCGAGCCGAGAAGCAGCAAACGAATGAGTAGAGTCGAGAGTCCAGCAAAGTGAAAGCACGCTGTTGTTTTTTTAACAAATAAGTCTTTAAATGACACGACCTGACATGATCCGGGTCTGACGGCACCAGAGCACATGAAGAGACAAACGGCTGAGTAGGAAAGCACAGAAAAGCTCCGGGTTGATTCTGTGTGAGGACGCAACGGAGACGAGAACCGTCCGTCTGTCCCTCTGTCCACATAAACCTGGACATCCAGTGGCATGGTCAGACACCATCAGGTGGACGAGCTGCTGCAGCTCAGGTGTGCAGCTTCATGTGAGGCTGAACTTTAGACGTGGCGACAGTTTGGTTTGTGTTGTTATTGTTTCCTCAGCTCTCTCCAACTTTCACCGTCTCATCTGTCTGCAATGCGTGTGTGTGTGTGTGTGTGTGTGTGTGTGTGTGTGTGAGACCCTACAGGGCAGATGGGAGCTGCAGTCTGTCACATCTTTGTAGCATAATTAGAGTTTCTGGCCTTAATCGGCTCGCGGTTCGAGGGGGGTTAGAACGCCCACTTTCCCTTCTCTCTCTCTCTCTCTCTCACACACACACACACACACACTCTGATGCTTTCACTCTCGCTAACATGAAATGAGAAGCAGGACTTTTCTATAAACACAGATGCAGGAACAGTTTTCAGAGTGGGAGCTTTCCCTGACGTATGAAGACGTGACGTAGAAATGACCAAAAAGAAAAGAGACGAGGAAACGAGGGGATGAATGGCAAGAGGAGGACAAGAGGAGCAGATGAGAGTGTGAGCTTAGGTGTTGGACCGTTGGTAGAAAGTGACGGAGGGAGCAGAGAGGGGAGGGAACAACACGACAACAGATTAAAGACAAGGGTGCTGATTGTTTAGTGTTTACAGGCTGCTGCTGCTGCTGCTGCTGCGGGGTTTGTAAAGCGGCATACGGCTCCTCGACAGATTCAGGACGCTGTATTCAAATGAGCAGCAACACACGCACACACACACACACACACCAGCTGCCCTTTGGCTCATATCTGTGGTGACCACTTCCTCGTGGCAGTGCCACATCCTCATAGGCTGCCATGGCAACAAGGGTCGCCGGGACACCGGGTTGCTAGGCAAACACAAGGTTGCTAAGCCTACCTGCCTGCCAGTGAGCGAGATCTGATTTGTCATTAACTAGGAGTCCACTAAGTGATCAGCTCGTATAGAAAACAGAGAGTTTTGTCAACCAGGCCTCCGTATTCTCCATCCTCCGTAAAAACCAGCCTGAATGAAATTGTAATTTAAGCGGCGTTGCTTTGAAAACTTTTTTCAGGTGAGCAGCTGACACAGAAAATACTGAAAATGTCGACTGTTAAATCAGAAATCTTGGCCGTAACATGTCAGTGTGGGGCTTCATCTGCTGGAGGACATCAAAAGCCACACGAGTGCTGAAGCTGCAGTAAACCAGCGACAGACTTCAGCCTCGTAGATAACCAAGGCTTTCTGTGTTTCCTCAAGACGTGTGGCTGAAATACTCTGGACACAGCTTTACAGCGTTTAAGCAGAGCCACAGGTGAGCTGGTGTGCTCGAGCTACGTCATCAGGAACGTCATAGATTGGTATGTAGCGTTACATCCGAGCTGCTTCAGACATGAAGGAGCTGTTTTCATGTCTAACTTCGATACCAGAAGATTTGCTTTTAAGAGATTAATCAAAGACAAAAGAGGAACTGTGGTCGTTTCTCCGCTGCATTAAACGTCCTGTCATCATGGACTGAATACAAACATGCAGACTGCAGACGAGCAGCGAGGCTGGAAGGATGGTAAAACCACATTTCTAAATCTGCAGACGACCAGTGACTAACTCAGAGCTGTGCTCACGTTCACTGAGCTGTAGAGTCTTTTAGAACGGAGGGAAGGAAAAACAATGCAAAACTGTTGTGTGCTGACATTGATAATAATCTATAATCAGCTCAAAGTATGATTTCAGTTGTCTGAGTAATATGCTTAACATGCCTTGTGGCCAAACCCAGGCAGGCTTTGGGTTTAATTTGGAAAATGAATGAATTCAAACTAATGAGTTAATGCAGAGGCTCAGTCCATGAGTTTATCTTTAAGAGATATTAGCTTTTAGAATTAATCTGGTCTCCAATCTGTGGCTTCATCTTCAAACTGATATTCAATTAATCTCTCCAATCTCGACCAACGTGGATTTAGATTAGAGATGTTTGCAGATGGACAGTTTCGTCTAAGCGATTGTTGGAATGCAGACGTCTTTCTGGCTCAGCTGGGCGGTGGCAGCTCAGCGTCAGGCTCTGCTTTTGTAGGCAAACATGAGCGTTGCTCTCAGCCCCTTTCACCAGTTTCCTGGCATCTTATTTTCAGCGCGATAATGCTCCAGATTTCAGTCTCACATAAACTTTATCGATCCCTACCAGGGAAACCACACGCTGCAGGATACAGATGAGGCTGGAAGAAGCAGGACAAGAACTACAAAAGCACCGTAAAGCTAAAGAGCTGTATCATCATGGGCGCCCCTACGGCTCACCTGGTTGAGCGGGCGACCCATGAACAGGGGCTGTTGTTCCCCGGCGCGGCGTTCGTGAGTTCGATTCCCGCTCACGACAGTTTGCTGCAGGTCTCTCCCCGTTCTTCTCACTCTCTCACTGTCCTGACTAATAAAGGCAGAAACCCCAGAAAGATAATCTTAAAAAAAGCCTATATTATCAGGGCGCATAGAGACAGCAGAGCAGCGTACATGTGGGTACGTCACGTATGTGTTAGACAGTGAATCTACGCGTGGCTATGGCGCGGTGACAAGGTGAGTTCACACACGTGTGACTTTGGGTTTGGCAGGAAGATAATGTCAGATAGATAGATGTTGTTTTCATCCTGTTCATTTGATGCTTCATATCGCTGAGAGTGGGACTGCCTTCAAACCAACGACACTGATGGGTTTTAATAGTTTGTAGACAACAATGGAGCTCTATGGTGAAGACCAGCCGACACGCTCCTCAGTGGGAGCTGCTGACAATAAGACGCACTCATCCACAGACTCTCCTTTAAGAAAGTGTGGTTTCTTGTTATTCATATTTTATGCAAATAAATGTTTTTAGTGAAATGTAATTTTAATTGAGCCGTAATCCCAGTTAATCCAACGTATGCATCAGTGGGAGGAGCCCTGCAGATATTACTGTGCTTAATAAAAGCATGAATCTTGGTTAATCCTGTTTGTGATGAGGGAGGCTGTTCTTTTCAAGGCTTTGCTAACGTGTGTGTGTGTGTGTGTGTGTGTCTGTCTACGTGTGTGTCCTGTTTCATTGTCTCATCGCATTCATTACCCTCATCATTACCATATTTCCAAAATCCGGGTCAGTGTCTCTTTCTCTTTTCCTTTCTCTCACCCTCTCCCGCTCCGACTCCCCCGGCCGACTCACCCCTCCTTCACGGGGAACAATAAGTAGCATGTGTTGGAAGGATCAGGCAGATCCACTGTAAGGGAATTAGGAGCCTGAATGGCTTCCCCTAATTGGACTTGAATGGACTTTGTCTATGGGAAAGCAGTTCTTAAAGATGAGCCTCTGTCAGTGTGGGAAGTGGGTTGAGCTGACAACTGCTCGGTGCAGAGCAGGCACGCACACACGGCATCCTCACGGCGTCGTCAAACCTCTCGCCTTCTGACCACACAATCATATATGTTAGCACGAGACGCCGAGGTCGCCGTCGCCTCGTCTTGAGAGAGTCGCTGAGAGTAATTAAGACCTCGTTAAGACCGGAGGAGGATTAATTAGATGCTTGGCGGCTCAGGGAGCTCCTTCTAACTCACATACTCTCACTCGCAAGTTCCCTGCCAGCCGAGTTTTTTTTAAACACTCTCAGCGACACATTTATCAGCCCTCAAGACTCGCCTTGAGAGGCTGAAGTGACGTCTCCATGCCTCAGCAGGAATCAATTAGCGACGAGCCCACCTCTCAGCCGTCCTGTCAATTAGCTACACAATGAGTCACAGCCAATTTGGCGACATCAGGATGTGAACCAGCAACAGCTTGTTGACTAATTTAACTTTTGTCATTTGACAAAAGTGTTTAAATCTTTCCCAAGATGGTGTAGGTTCATGTGAAGGCAGCAGTGCAGCTATGTCACGCCAAACACTCAGCTCATCTACATCCAGAGGAAACGATCCTTTATCCAGTAACCATATAAAAATACAAATCCTGTTTAGACTCTGTGTGGGTACGAAGCAGGTGTAAACTGCTTCATGCCAACATCCTGCAGCTCCTGCAGTGTGTGTCTGCTATCTAGTAAAGCACGAGTGACCTAAAACATCATTTGAAAAAGTTCCTACAGCAGCTTTTCCTCCAGGATCCACAGGAAACCTTCAGCGTTACAACTCGTAGCTTTCTGTCGATGGTGCACATTCGCTCTGTCCTCTGTGAAATGTGCCGAGCTACGACGAATCTGGTTGAAGTGGGCAGATTCTTAAAGGATGTGTGTGTTTGCCCTTCACTGTGGCCTGGGGGGCTGACAGCAGCCAGCATCAGGGAAGGAGAGGGAGTCAGCCACCCTGACACCTCCTCTGACACGCTCTCTTTGCCCCTTTTGGTTGTAAACAGAAAATGGCATTCCTCAAACTCAGCGTTTTGCCCCCCTAGCCCCCATTCTCTTTCTGCCTTTTGTCTCTCCACTCTTGTGTGGGTTTTTTCGGTTTCTGCTGATTGTGATGAGCTGGACGGGACAGCGGCTGGTGGACGACTGGCTGGTTGTGTGTGAAGATCATGAGGTGGAG